AAATTTTTTTCGAGTATTCTGCATCCGAAACCAATCTGTGCGCTATCTATCCATGGCAGCCTGCACAGAACCAGTCTTAAACGGGAATCCATCCGTGTTTAGTGTCACTTTCGTGACGAACCATATTAATAGTTTTTTTTTCCTTTAGATTTATTACAAAGCTTGACGCCCGCAATACACTCTGTGCTAGGAACAAAATATTTCGTGGGACTTAAAGGCACATTTCGGCATGAGAAACCGTCGTAGTGGAGTTCAGTAACATAAATGCATGTCTTGATCGGGCTTCTAGTGAAAAGAAAACAGTGACAGCCACGGAAAATGCGCCCAAAAAAAAAAAACTTTGGGCCTTTTATTTGAACTGGGACCTTCGAGTGAGAATACAATGGTCCAGAATCAACCGGCAAGAAACGAAGGCACTCCGAAATTGGGCCCAATAGTTGTGCTCCTAACCATTGGATGACTAGTGCTACACTAATGGCACATCATCTTATCACCTGTAACGCTAAAGCACACGTTATCGAAGGCATATCTGTCTTATCAGCAAGTATCGCAAAAGTCTTTTTTTTTTCCCCCCCTTGCCTCCGAATTTCATTGTACATGAGATAGAGAACCTCCTCGGAGCTAAATGCGAAGAACATGAGCTGGGGAGCTCCCAAATTGTATCTACAGTGATATCACCGCAACCACTCCGGTCGCAATCAGCGGTCGCAACTGCGCATTGCCACCAATGGTTTTTTTCCTCCTGATTTGATCGTTTACTGATCGCCATTGGTAGAGCAAGGTAGCCGCTCGCCGCCCACGACAAATTGCAGTAATTACTGACACATAGCGTGAGCTAGGCTCCGCACGGTGGAAGCTCGGTGAGTTGTGCGCGGTTATTACTGGGTTCTTCGGGGTGTTTCGGGACACGACGTCGGAAACGCTAGAGTGGGGAAGGCGCTTGATCGGGTAGGTGACAAATTGAAAGCTTCGAGCCATTTTCAGGCCTCTGAAGAAGACGAGAAGGTCGAAACGTCGGGCCAATAAAAGGTTCTTCGGGCCAGTAAAAGGTTCTATTCTCGCAACCTCGTTTGGCATAAAAATCTAAACATTCGACAAATTGCAGTGTTATAAACTAACCGCTCCTACACTCCATATCCCACAAATATGGCGGGAGTAGACGCAAACCTTATTCGGATGTGGCATAGGATGCTTATTTTTCCGATGTTTTTCAAGTTCCTTTCAAGAGAGGCTATTCTGTATTCACCCTGTATCACCTGTGCTCCCGTTGATCATCGAGTTCCTCGAGCGGGCGCCAGTAACGTCTCCATTCGTCCCTGCAACGTGCAAGAGTTGCCCAATGAACTCTCTCAGCTCGAGGGACACGATGAACTTCATACCATTCGTTCAGAGCTTTCACGAAGAAGTCTGACCATCGCGTAGGCGGTCGTCCAGGCGTTCGCTTGACATCCCGTGGAATCCAGTCGGTGATCGCTCTGGTCCAGCGGTCGTCCTCGAAACGCATGACGTGTCCGGCCCACCTGATCTTCGAAACCTTGGCAAATGCGGCGGCGTCTCTGATCTTCGATCGTTGGCGGAGTGCGGAGCTCCGGATTCCCTCTCTCACTTGCGTGTAGCGGGAAACTCCGAGCATCGCCCTTTCGTACGTCAAGGCAGGAAGACCGCGGAATCGAAGGGGTGGGCACTTGGTGTTCTTCGTCTTCTTCGCTACTCCCTCGATGTTCTTGAAGGCTCCCCAAGCCGCTCGCTTCCTCCTGCTCAGCTCTGGAGCTAGGTCATTCATCATATTGATTTCACGACCTAGGTACACATAGCTAGAGCATTCAGAGATGGTCGTTCCGTTGAGCGTGAATGGGGCATCAGATACCAATCCGTTTCTCATGAACATCGTCTTCGTTAGGTTCAGCCGTAGACCGATTCTTCCACACGCGCAGTCGAAATTCAGCAGCACGTAGTCTGTATTATTGTTAAAAATATTGGCCTAATGTCCGGTGCAATTTCGGCGACGGGGGGAGGATTTTACACTTTCGCTGCTTCACCATGTAGTTCTGGTTCGCTCTAGTGTGACTGTGAACTCTTGCGAAGCTGGACCAGCCACCATGGTATATTACATTCACATGTTATTTCACTGCTTTGTAAGAGTTTACAGCTTTCTTTACAATCTTTGGCTGGTAACTTTCGTGGCTTCGCAAAGATTTCACCGGTCCTACCCGATGGATCGACACGTTCATTGGAGTAGCAGAAGTGGCAAAATGGCGCTCCCATCGCCAAAGACGCTGCGCGTGTCTGAAGGCCCATGTGCCACCAACGAGGCAGCCACCATCTTTTTCAAATGAAGTGCGCTTCGCCCATCCTGGGTTAAGGAGTTAGAAGTGCATAATGGCGACAATTTCAACCTATTCCAATATTTCCTCGCAACGGACCGATCTTGTAGAACCTCGTGGAACGAGCGGTATATCGTGGTCCACTATTTCCGTTCAATTTCGTTGTTACGAAGTTGGTGGCCAGTATCATTACTGAAAGGGTGAGTGGGTGGTGACCCGCCTGTAGGCGCTTGTCAGTGTGTGTATGTACCCTTATTTATATTTTCCTTGCAGTGCGGCTGCGTTTGCGCGGGCCTAAACCCGCTCTCCCACCCACTATTTTACGAACAAACGATATGACTGTTTTAATGTCCTTCGTATTACTGCGTTTTTCTACCCAGCTTTTTTTTTTGCATACGCGTTCCAAAAAAATTCTGAGAAGCGGCTTCAACAGTGTGCACACTCATACTGGCTGACACGCCCCACCGGTCCGCAGTGATGAGGACTGTATGTATGCAGTTTATAGGATTTGGCATGACAAGCGCTGGGTGCGATCGAAGACTATTGCGTGCAAAGTTCGGTTTAAGAATGGAGTTCCTTTTTGTACCACCCTAACCGCAGCTCTAAGGCGAATATGTACAGGGGGGACCAAAAAAAGTCACTTTTCTTCATTGACTTTCGAGGCGCTACAAGTTACACTTTATTAAATTCTGATCGGACATTTTCACCACCATATTAAAGAGCATATTAAATACTATCATGACACTCCGCCACAGCCTTCTGGACGAGCGCCATCGAGAGATTCTGGCACGCGACCGCGATGTGGTGCCTGAGATCAGCGAGATAGTCGATTTCTCCGCCACCGTAGACCACCCTATTGAACTCCGCCCGAACCGGGTAAAGGGGATTCAGGTCAGGTGACCTACTTGGATATTCCATCTTCTTTAGGTACTCAGCCCCCTTCCATTCCAAGTAGGCGAGAGTTTCTCCAACGCCCTTCGATTCCATGTGGTGGCACCCAATGCTGTAGCAGTACAAAGTTTCCAAGAAGGTACGGGCGACGACATGTGAGGAGGATATTCTTCACGAGTTGCTCGATGTAACCGCCAGCGCTCACCTTCAGTCCGGGGCCCACGAAGAAAATATTCGGTCTTTCCATTCCGGTCCATACCATCAACCCGCGCCTTGGCGACTGTGGTGAAGATGATGTCCTAGACCGTGGCGACGTTGTCGGAGCTGCTCGATGTTGGAGGTCATCCAGATCGAGAGTACTGGTCTCCAGGTAGCTATCCATGGGTGACTCCACACTAGAAGTTTCGCAGCTGTTTGGAGGTGACATGAATTCCAAAGGTCTTCTCCAGTCAGGCTGCGACTGGAGATGACTTCATATTTTGGTGTACATGAAGGTGATGGGCGAGGGCCAGCTCCTGCTTATCGAGGAACATCTTGGGTATCTTTCCGCCCTGGTACTCGTGTCCCGTTCTCTCTCTGGGCAGCGAAAACTTTGCTGATATTGACTCGTCGAAGTGAGCTTTTATTGCGCGCCGCTCCCCCTGTAACTTGGGTAGCATGCACAACAGGAGACTGTGAAACATTTGTGCGGGTGAGAGAGACGGCGACCCCAACCCTACAAGAAGAGCCTTGATCGGACCAGCCTTTCATGATCCACATTACTAAATCTCCCCGTAATTTTGCCATGGCGAGGGAGAAGGACGTTGGACGACGATCGACTGAACTGGCAGATAGAGGTAGTCAATAATATAAATAGAGAATATAAATAAAGCAGGCGGATAGCCGTTATGCCTGGGAAACGTGAAAATCGTCAGTCGAAATCCCTCGAAGGCCATAATCCCTCCCCAGTGACAGCAAATACGATCCCCTGAAGGTGGTTGCGACGGCATTGTACGATAATGTACAGTATGCGCCGAACGAGTTAGCGAGCGGCAAGATGTAGGTAGATGTAAAACCGCCGCCGCGTGCGTCATGGCAAAGACGCCGTTTCCATCCCAAAGAGGCAGTTGAGACTGTATTTAAAAATTAATTACTGCCTCAAATGTCTCTCTGGGATGCAAAGGAATTAATTAGATGAAGAAAGTTTAATTTATTCATTTATTTAATGCATCCATGATGGACACGCCATAACCGCGTATGAGATGAAATTATTTGAGCGTGCAATATAAACATAGAACTAAAGGCCAGGAACAAAGCAACTAAATACAACGCAACTAGGAACGAAAGAACGGAGGTCGTGCTAGTGAGTGGCTCAGTGAGCAGGAGCACCTCTTTAGAATGAGACAGTACAATCCTCAACTAACAGACTTCCTCATAACAGTGCTTAATTCAGGAGGGATCGGCTGACATTTCTTCTTCTCTTTCTTCTCTTATAACTTCAAGCCGGGCATGACAATTTCTTCTTCTTCTTCTTCTTATTCTTCAGCGTTTGTCCCGCTCTGTGGCGGGGTCCGCTCTCCTGATTTTGTTACGCCATTTATTCCGATCAAATGCCTGATCAGGGTGAGCACCAACTATCTTCAAATCCGCGTGCAGCGTGTCAAGCCACGTTGCTCATTCCGCATCGGCTGACATTTATTGATGTTTAATTATTGCTGCTCAAGCACTAGGAACTCTAAGGCTCCGGGCCTATTGAATTTTTTTCGAGCTCAATTCATCCGAATTTTTCTGTATAGCATTGTTCTTATGAAATTAAAAGGAGCACTATGTCACCATGAGTCTGTGTATCTAACATAAATTTCGTGTCAGGTTCCGTCGTGCCGAATTTCATGATGTGTCGACGTCGGCTCCAAATAGAATCTCATGGGTCATGAAGAATTTCGACCTTGGGTGAATAGCAGTTGAAGCTCCTACGAAGCCCAAAACTGATTCTTCCTACGTTTCAGATTTATTGGAGATCTTAGCGGAGCAGTCAACATCGTAGTCCCCTTCAACCTGACAGGTCAAGCCGAAGTGCAAGCTGAAGGGCTTAGTGTCCAGCTGGATAGTGCAGTACGTTGATTGTGCCTGAACCTCGTCATGTACTCATTTTTATCCCTTCAAAATTCAGATAGAACGAGCTGCAAATGGCTCCGCTCACATCAGTTCCATTGCCTGCCATTCGACTATTCGTGCCGTGGACGTGACAAACCATAACGGAGGACTGTTCGGATTGGCTGTTACAGTATTCAAGGTACTGATAAGACGGGTGGCAAGTCACTCTGTGGCCAATAGATCCTGGGGTTCGACTCTTCAAGGAAGACTATAAGATCGTAGAATTCCCTCATAAATACGCAAATGTAATGAAATGGCGAAATAGGGGGGTTGCAGAAACATGGGCAAGAGGGCGCGGTATACTGCACCCTCCCAGGTTTTTTTAAAAAGATTAAATACAAGTGAGGAAAGATAAGGTCTTCGCCATTGTAGCACCCCTTCTTGGAATGTAGCACCCACTCTACTTCCATTTAGAATCGTAGTCGCGTGCTACACGTGCAGTCAAATCTCTGAGATGATATGTCCTGCACAATGACTTGCGGGAGCTAGCTAAGGTTGGTGGATTTACCCTTGTACCCCGGTTTCTAATATAATCTCCATCCTCGGAGGGTAGAGGGCACTGGTTGGGGCGGAAGCCGATACCGTTAGGCGAAGCTTGACCCCGACCGGCGTGTGAAAACGTGGCCACTTTCCACTGCAGGACCGAGTTGCGCTCCACACTACGCAAACTTCCAGGTTAATATTCATCCTGCAGGGCAAGGAGTATCCGAACAAACGTTCGGTGACTCGTTGCAAGGGCTTATTTGCAAGAAAATCCGCAAATATCTTGACGAGGATCTGAACGAAAAGGTGTGTGCTTAGCGTGAAGTTCAGGGACTAGTTTTTTGAATGGTCAAGATGAAAGTGAAACGTTTCAGCTGGCTGAAGTACAAACCGAAGCCCATACGTGAAGCAATCGAAACGAACGCCATACGCCAGCACGACGTTGCTCGCCGCCGTCTGGAGCGGCCACATTGGGGACTCTTCTGGGGAAGGCTAGTCAACTTATTGTTCGTCCGGGAGGCTTAGGTTCTCTAGCCACAGAACAGGAACGTGTACCGCCCTAGCCTGCCATCAAAAGTCTTTCCTGTACATGCTTTTACGTGCAGTCCTAAAACCCTGAGATGCGGTTTGCGTGCCTGCGAACTTCATTTCAGCGTGGCGACACCTACGCTTCATGTGGGGCGTTTTCGTTTCAAACGTTTCAAACGTTTGTCACAATGTCACTGTGTGACGAAAAGCGAGATGACAGTTATTTCGATTTAAAAAATCCCACCTTAACCCATTATACCTTAGGGCAGTCGGTATCGTACGGCTGCACCTCCGTGCTCTCCTCCTTCTCTTGAGCTCGGCTTCGCCGAGCTGGCCTGGCTTCGCCAGGCGGCTCCATAATTTTGACGGAATTTTTTCGGTAGTGGGCTGCTCATAAGGCGCTGTAGTGATCGAATCGTAACAGACAGAGCAAGGCTTAGGATCCCGCACAACTCAGCACGCGCTTCTATTTACAGCGGCGGTGTAGTCCGCGCCATGACGCCCATAGAATACATAAATCTGTAGATAGATACAATGTGTAGTCGGCCAATACAGCGCAATATGAATCGCTCAGTGAAATAGCAGATTTCGTTTCCATTACCTGCACCGGAATGCCTACCGACGAACGCTTTCCTTTTCAATTAGCATGCGATCCGCTCGTTGAAGTGTTTTCGGTTCTCCTCGAGTTTCCTGAGATTCCTTTCTCAGGCGAACTACATACCACCCCCTCGCGACATCGCATTGTATAAATGGAATAGTTCATTTCGCAGCTATCAGGGAAGTGATGGCTGAAGGAAAAGTATGCACATATGAGCCTTTGATACTTGGGGTATAGTGATAAGAGAAGGTAATGCTAATGATCCCTTATCATTGAGATCCTGTCACCCGCCATCGATGTCCCTATCATGAAACTGATAATTTGGTAGTGTAAAGGCTCCAGCAATTTGACTGAACAGCATTGGCAACGTTCCTTATCAGCCCCTATCAGCTGTTATCACCTCACGTGCCGTGTCCCCATCTCCAACTCTATATCATTTTCTGAAATTAATGCCTAGCTGATGCTGTGTTCCGCGTTATGAGTATGGTGACCTTACCATTCTAACTCCCCTTATCAAATCCTATCAGCTGCTATCATTCCCTGTCACCCATCAATAATGTTCCTGTCCCACGTCCTATATCATACCTTGGAACCAATGTCCCACTGTTACTGTGTCCCGCACTATGGACTCTACACCTCCCCTTCTGACGCCTCTTGACGGATCTTATCAGCTGCTATCATTCCCTGTCACCCATCAATAATGTTCCTGTCCCACGTCCTATATCATACCTTGGAACCAATGTCCCACTGTTACTGTGTCCCGCACTATGGGCTCGGTCACCCTCTCCCTTCTAAGGCCCCTTATCGAATCTTATCAGGTGCTATCACATTCTATCACCCACCAAAAGTGTTCCCGTCCTGCCATGTATATCACTTCTTGGAACTGTCGTCCTATCTTTTCTGCGACGCTCGCTATGAATTTCGTGACAGACAGACAGACAGACAGACAGACAGACAGACAGACAGACAGACAGACACACACACACTTACAGACATACTTAGCGGATTATATATAGTAGGATGCTCAAATGAAATACGCGGCCACGCCTACCGTGTCCCAGGGATGTGAAGTGGAAGGGAACCTTTTTTCCTCCAGAATACAGGTCACATTGCTTTCAATCAGTCGTCAGTTCATATGTACCTCTAAATCATTGAACCTTTAGTCCTTTCAGAGCATATCCAAGGAGTTCTACATCGACTTCAGGTGACACTAGTCAAGTACGTGGCAACGGATTCTCCGAAAGCAATTTGATCTTGTTCAGGCTAAGAGAGGATCCATTTTGTGGAACGAATATGGTGGATCTGGCGTGCGCGGGTGAAATTTCGTACAAAGGTCTCGGTGGAACTCCCTTCGGACCACCGCCGATCGCATGGATTCGCTCTCAATCAGACACTCACATGTTGATGCTCCAGATCTCCGACTATCTACCAAATTCGCTCTTCTATCACGCTCACAAGTATGTTCGATTTTTCCCACTGAGTCATTTTGTGTACTCAGGGTCCAAACTTGCGCTAGAACTTAGAATTAGAAGGAGAGTTTGGAATATTTTTGCAGCAAGTCTGAGAGAATAGAAGAAGAGCGTTTTGGAATATTTGCACAAGTCTGAGCCAGAGCTTGCATCTTTTGGAAATAGAAAGTACCAGCGCAAACGAGGACTGTGCCTGCGTTTGTGGCGGATATCGTCCACTGAAAGAGATCTCTACGTTCTCAGACCGCAGCATTGCAAAGATGGGCTGCTTGATAAAAAGCCTTAGAGAACGCGTCCAATGCGAGAAAGGACACTGCTTACTTCAATGGGGATCTCATGTAAAACTGAAATCACCTATGGTGTACTCAAAGACGTTGACTTGATAATTGGTAATCGCGGTCTAAAATGTAAGCAGGTCTAGCAGTAGTGAGAAAACGGCGAAAAAAACCGAAGTGAATACGTTAAAACCCGCGAACGAGAACCTTTGCTCTAAATAACTCAAAAAGCAATTTGCGGAGAGTTTCATTATCAGGGATTTTGCCATAACCGCACGTACGCGAGGGCATGTGCTGTACTCATGTGTCCATGCAGCATCACGGCCGCTTCATGTCAGTCCCCCTTATTTTACTTCACAAATAAAACAATACCACCAGTCGTCCATTTGTGAGCGCGCGGGTGTGCTGGCGTTCGGCGTCGCGTATGCTGTAGCTTGATAGGGCCTTCATACGGTATCTCCAAAAGGCGTAGCAGGTCTTGTAAAGGGAGGCGGAAATTCCGTCCTGCCCGTCCGTATCATTCCTACTCGTTTACGATTTCATCGTGCCAACTGCCTTCGAGATATCGTAGCTTCCAGTGTTCACAATGCAGAAAAAAAAAATCAAATTTCACTTGAGAATGACTACAGAGAAAGGATAGCTAAATTACACTGCGGCGATGAATTCCCCAAAATAAGGATGTTATCAGGTGGAGGTGTTTTATGCAGCAAATGGCATTACAAGCACGGTCATACAGAACTCGCCAAACATCCCAAAAAAACATACATACATACAATTCATAGCAGGATACTTTATTCACATACAGTCAACCGATCCTCGCGCTTCTTCAAGGAAAAGTGGGTGCCACGGGAATTGCCCTGGGAAAGTAGAAGCACTGCTCGAGCCGGATGCCTATTCGGTTTTTTGGCCAAATCACATTCATGTGCCAGTCGCATCTTGGCTTCCTCAAAGCACTTGGCACGTTAATTACGTAAGACGAGAAGGAATAATACGCCTGGCAGGACGGGGTTCCGCGATTCTCAGCAGGCGCGGTGTAGCGCCTTACCCAAGGAAAGTACCCTTATAGACTCTACCAAGCTGCAACATACCGACTCGGACGCCCGCCATGCCCTCCCGCCCACAAATGGACGACCGTACCTGATGCCTGTATTACTCGATTTGCGAAGAAAAATGTAAGCAAAGGGTTTGATATGAGGCGGCCGCGATTCTACATGGATTACATCATTGCGTACACTAGCAGCCCATACGCAGCCGTAAGGCGGTTATTGACAAGAATGTCTTACTGGGAAAACTCGTCCGTAAGTTGTGCATTGAGAAGAAGGCTTTTTTTGGCAACGTTTTTGGTTGTTTAAGCTTCGTTCTTTCGCCATTTCCCACCCATATAAGAATCCTGCTAGCAATTTTTCGACGCGGAATATGAAATTTGCCGCATATGCTTCAGAGTCATAAGGCACGATCATTGCGGTAGTTGCTCGTGGGGATGCTAATACTAGTGGGAGAATGAGAACATTGAAGAGACGACTGAAACCCTGTGAAACGCTGGTTTGTTCTGCACGGCAGTGAGCGAGCACTCTTGGACGAGCTTCCCGTAGGCATCTTGTCAACAACACTTTAGTTAGGTACGGCTGCATGTATGTATTCATATATTAATGTAGCCACGGGCTTCAACCAATTGTCCGCTTTATAATCGAGCGATAAGAAACCAGCGTCCTGTGAGTGGGCGGCGATGCGAGTGGGCGTCTGGTCGGCATGTTGACGTGGCCAGGCGCTAGACGTGCCCTTGATTGGTTAGAGGCGCTGCGCTCGCTGCTTTAGGAGCGTCATAATCCTGCTAGGCGTATTCATCCTACACTTCTTGGGGATTTACCGTGCCACTTGCCTTTGATGGAATCAGAATGCTTGGCGCACCACGAAAGGCGTTTGGCCAACATTGGATGCTCTAATCTTTTCAAGGTCAAAGAGTATTTTTTTCTGTGTATTTTCTACGTCACATCAAATCAACGTAACGGTTTGGGCTTGCCACAAGGTGCGCTACTCACCACAATGAGATAGCACAGCAGTAGAGTAGAATTGTAAACTGGCCCAGAGATGTGATTATGCGTCACTGAATGGAATTACAAAAAGTACTGAAATTCTAGTGCTCTCTTTCTTTTGTTGCACTATGCTCCTTTCGAAAGCTAAAGCGTTTTTTTTTCTTCGTTTGTCGAAAAAAACAAGTCGGTTTTTTCCAAGGAATTCACCAGTTGGTGAATTAAAACGTCGCCTGCACCCATATGTTTTATATCCCGAATGCGAGGAGAGGGCGTGGCTGGGTACATTCAATTAGAAACAAAGAAAACAAATATTGGGGAAAGGAATACACTCCAAAGCACAGATGATCCGTTTCGCCCGTTATCGCAGACGAATCATCGATGTCTTACCAACCCCCGGGCTCTTCAGTGCGACAGGGTTGACGACATGGACATGGACTACATAGGGGAAGGAGTAAAAAATAGGATAAAACGAAAAAATGTAAAAAAGTTGACATGCAAAATTCATGCAATAAAGATGAGAAGGAATTGTACAGGAAAAATGAAAGAAGGATATAACAGGTGTGAGTACTAAATACGTGTAAGAGGAAGAAAATGGATTGTTGTAGAAGGGCTGAACTAGTAAAATAGTAAGGTTGAGTAAAAAGACACTGTCGCAGCGGATTTCAAAAAGTTAAATCAAAAATTGTAGTGGTAAAAGGAGAATTAGTGTTGAACACCGCCGCTGCCAGTGAGACTACCTTCTACAGTCTACTTAAAGGCAGTTGGCACAATGAATCCCCCAAGATGACTAGGATCAATACTCGTTCCCAGCGATAATGATTACATCACTGGAGTATCAAACTCAACATTACCACGCGGCGCTTGGTCTTCATTTTCGGATTTCTCGTCGAGGTATCCCATCGTAGGACACATACAGGGGGAGGGGAAAAGACACTTTCAGTCACAGTCACATATTAGTAAAGTTTACGCAGCTCAGATAGAAGACATGGATACGAGTACCAGGGCGGAAGAATAACCCAAATTTCTTCGATAAGCAAGGAGGGCTGGCTCATGATCCATTCACCTTCATGTACACCAAAAATATGGAGCCGTCTCCACTCGCAGTCGGACTGGAGAACGGCTATGAAATTCACGTCACCTCCAAAGAGCTGCGAAAGTTCTTTCACCGAGTCACCCATGGCAGCTACCTGGAGACCGGCACTCTCGATCTGGGAGATCTCCAAAATCGAGCAGCTCCGACAACATCGCCACGGTTCAGGAATATCTAATCTCCCAGCACAGTCGCCAGGCGCGGGGTTGATGACTGGACGGTGAGGGGGGGGGGGGGGGGGGGGGCGGAAGTTCTTGGAATGAGAAGACTGATATTCTCTTCGTGAAAACCACGACATAAAGTGGAACGCCCTGCGTTACACCGAAAGCGCAAGGAGAATAAACTGCCTTCATGTCGTCGCCTGTACGTCTTGGAAACTTCGTGCTGCTACGAGATGAGGCCAGCACGTGAATCGAAGGGCGCTGGAAAAACTCCCGCCTACCTGGAATGGAAGGGCGTTGAGTACCTGAAGAAGATGGAATATTCAAGTCTGCCACGCGGCTGAAACCCCTCGATTACCGGGTCGCGACAGCGGAGCTCAAACAGGGTGTCTGGCAGTAGGCGGAGAAATCAACGACCCTCCGCTTAAACTCACACGGTCGCATGACAGAATATCTCGATGGCGTTCGCCCAGAAGGCTGCGATGGAGTTTCGTAATTCGTCTGCAACGCGTTACTGAATTTGATGGTGAAAATGCCCAATCAGGATTTAGCAAAGTGTAACTTCGCCTTGAAAGTCGAGGAAGGAAAGTGTATGATTCCAATAAAATACATCAGCTCACCATCAGTTCCCTGTGGAACAAAACCTAAATTCAAAAAGACGTTATCGTCTTTCAGGCTCAAGCGCTGGTCGATACAAGGTCGGTTTCTTTGAGGCGGAAAAGCCACTACAGCAGCGTTTCCTATCAGCAGTAATTTCTCTTAATCTCCAGCGGCCTTATTCCTCATTCTCATCTATAGAAGGCCGTTAGCTGAAATTGGGTATTCTCCTTGTAAAATCTGCAACTATGCCATAGCTTCATAATTGGAGGGCTTTTTGTTTCGTGAGTATGATGTAGTGCTGTGAACATAAAAGCAACTATCGATGAACATTCCGCGGTAGTACCCGTATCGACGTCCCTAGCTGTAAGACTCCAAGCAGGAATAGAATGTTGGACTACTCAAATGCTTGTCACGGGTTAATCATTGTTTCTTGTTTCAGGCAGCGTCTCATTCGCCTTCATCTGTCGCCGTCTACGCCCGGTGTGTCACAATTTCTTCGAACATCATGCGAGAACTCGTTCTGCCTCGCAGATCTGATCCCACAAATCACCGAAACTTACCCCAATCACACACTCGAGCTCTCTCTCGCTTCCACTCGAGCACCAGCCGTTTTGTTCTCTGAGAAGAAAGGAGGTAAAAGCGGATCCTGAAATGTTTGACAACGAGTTGATTAGCTGCAAGTTCAGGCGTGATCTCGGTCAGTTTG